GAAAAAAGGATAGATTCAAAGGAGATTCCAATAAGTTTTCAATATTGTATTCAATAACAATAATAAACACTCTTAACATTTTTGTAAACATAAATCTTATAATTTATTTCTTGTTAACTAAATAAACTCTCTAATAAACAGTGTGTCAAGTTGATTGGATTTAAGTCATAGCTATTGCCTCTTTGATTTCAAATCATAGTTAACTTATTCGATAGAAAGAGTAATGTTAACAGTGTATAATACTATATAATTATAGTTAAGCTGTATAATTAAAATATATTTATCTATAAAATAATAATTTTCAATTGAAAAAATAATGTATTATATGAATGATCTTTAAAAGTTCAAGATATTATTTATCTTTGTCTATATAAAATAATTTTGAATAACATTTTTTCTATTGATATAAATTTTTTTCAATTCCTTTTACCCATTTTAAATTTTCTTTAATTTACTAATTTACTAAATATATATTATTAATTAAAATATAATATAATTAAAATAACAATTAAATAAGTTTTCAAATATTAGCTTTAAGAATTTCAAGTATTTTTTCTATTATATCAATAAGTTAATCATATAATTTCTTACAAACTTATAAATTATCTTTAAGTAGAGTATTGTTTTTAATAGTATTTTATTATAATATTATCTATAATTAGTATTAGTAAAGTATTAAGAAAAGGATATTGATAATAATAGTGAATCTCATTAAAAATTGAATCTTATTTGAGAAGTTTTTCAAATATGACTTAAACCATTATTTTTAAATATTGTAAAGCAGTTCTTATTATTTCAAATAATTGACTTCTATTTCCTAATAGATTAATTTTTTTAATACATTAATTTAAATGATGTTTTCTTTATTTATTATTAAAAAGAAGGTTGCATACTAAAAATATAAGAAAAATATTAAGTTTATATAAATTTTTTCTTATAATCTTAATAAAAACTTGTATTTTAATTTTCTTTTAAAATTCATTCTTTATTTATTCAACTAACTAATGATTATTAACTTTAACAATTTTTTTAGTGTTTTTGATTTTCATTATTTAAGTCTTAGATAATCATTCTATGGTTAGGTTTTAAGACTTTTTTTTTATAAAAAATTATAATAATTTGAAGAATCATAGTCTTAGATAACTGAATATTTTAATAATATAATTATTATAGAATATTGGTTCTTTGCAATAAAAAGAAAGGAAACTACTAAAAAAATTTTTTTTTGCTTTATAAGCTAAATATTAATTTTTTAATAAAATAAGTTCAAATTTAACATTAACTCAAAAAAAAATTTTTTTGGTAGTTTCCTCCCTTTCTATTGCAAAGAGCCTATATAATGAAATTTATTATATATAGTATTAATAATTTAGATCAAATATGTAGTATCAGTTAGAATTATAATTTCTATAACATAAATTTTCTTTTTAAAATTTCTTTATAATATTTAAATGAATTAGAATTCTTTATAGAGTTATTCTATTAGATCTAAAATTAATCATTTTACTTATACAAAACTATTTTAACCATTTTTATTTAATATTAAATAATAATTCTAACCAGTATTATAAATCTAGCCTAAATTATTATTTGATTATATAACTATTTAGTATATAAAATATATAATTAATATAAGTAAACTAGTTAAATTAAATTCAGATAAAGTATATAATACTTTATTATAGAAGTTTATTATATTCAATGTAATTGATTATAAAAATTTTATTCTGAAGTTTTTGGTTTAATATAACAAGTTTTCAATATAAATAAATTCAGTATAATCAGTAATTATTATATACTTTTGTGATACTATTCTTAAAAAGATCAATAATTTGATTATATTTAGCTTTAGTTAAATTAAACATAATATAAAGTAGTACAAAATCTTATTTTATCAATTACATTTGAAATTTATTTATAAATAAAGTAATAATTATATAATATTTATATAAAACATAAGCTATAATATATTAATTTTTAGTTCAAAGAATTATATATAGTTTTAAAAATTAAATAAAAATACAACGTTTACTATTTTTATTTAGGTAATATATAATTAAAGATTATAATTTTTTAGATATCAATTAATAATTAAAAATTATTTATATACTTAATTAAGCAAAATATATAATCTAAAAATCTTTACTAAAATATGAATATTATTTATAAGAATGTTTAATATCTAATTAATAGTACTTTAAATTAGATAAAAAACTGATAATTATGTAAATACAAATTATAATAAATACTGTATTACTAATATTATAAAAATTTTTTTATAAATTTATAATTAAAAGTAACTTTTCAAAGTTAGATTTATATTACATCTCTTTTCAATATTAGAAATTATACTTACATATTATTTTAAAAAATTTAGAAGATGATATTATTAAAGATAAAACTTGAAAAATGCTTATAATACAATAAAGATATCTTTTTCTTAACTTTAAATTATTCATTATATTACTTTATGAATATGCTTATCATAAAAATATATAAAAAAAATTTTATTAACAAAATAATTATCCTTTTATTAATTATATTGTAATTATTAAACTTATAAATTTTAAATAAAGATTTTCTAAAATATCATAATTAAATATTTTATTTTTAACTAGAAAAATAATCTAAAAAAAGAATTAAAAATGAAGAGATCAATAAGAAAATTTAATCTAATAAATTAAAAAATTAAAACTTTATATCTTTTAATAAAAAATATATTGATAAAATTATAAATACTAATTTATCTGTTAAAAAATCAAAAAAATAAAAAATAAAAATCCAATTAGATAAAAGATTTACTAATTTAAAAAAATTAATTAAGAAATTATTCATTTTATTTTACAACAAATTTTTTTTGATAATAATATTTTTTTTTTTGTAAACATACTTTAAAATGAATATTGATTCAGTTAATTTTTATAATTAAATTATTAAATAATAAAATCATTAAAATTAAAAGTAATAATCAAAAATTATTTTAAAATTTATCTATAATTATTATTATTTTAGGTTATAATTTTATCATTATAAAAAACATATAATAATGAATTATCAAATTCTTTAATTATTTATGACTTTATTTTGAATTAGAATAAAATTATAGAAGATAATTTTAGAAAAAAAGGTAAAAGAAGAAATAATAATAAAACAAAATATCTAGTATAACTTATATATTATTTTAATAATATATTTTATAAAAAATTCAAATATATTTTAATCTTAATAATTAAATCAGATTAGTTTTCTTTTGATATTTTAAATAATAAATTAACTTTAATGATTTTTTATATTTTATATTACTATTCTTTCCATTTTTATTAATATTTATATAGTGTATATTAATTAATTAATATTATTAAATAAATAAAGAATAAATAAATAATTTTAAACAAATTTTACTAATTATTTTTCTTATATTTTATAGATAAAAATAGTATTGCTAGCTAGAATATCTTATTAAAATTCAGTTCTGTTATTAAAAAAACCATTTTATGAAAAAATTAGAATCTTATACTATTAAGTTTAAGAATATATAAGCATTTTGTAGTAGAAAAGAAGGAAACTACCAAAAATGTTTTTTTGAGTTAATGTTAAATCTGGATTTATTTTACTAAAAAAAATAATATTTAGCTTAGAAAGTAAAAAAAATTTTTTTTTGATAGTTTCCTTCTTTTCTATTGCAAAGCATTCATATTTAATAAGATTATATAAAAAAATTACTATAAAAATCAGATTCTAGGAATTTTTAATAAAATTTTGATTTTATTGTATTTAATTTTTGATATTATTAAATTAAAATGTAATAAGATCTTAATTTTAATCAAAAAATTTCTATAATCTAAATTTTTTATATGTAAATTGTTATAATCAATCTATAAGTAATTATAACTTTTATAACTATTTTAAGAGTTACTTATTCAGTATAATTTGCAAGTTAAATTTTTTGAAGTTAATTATTTCTAATATCTAAAATGAAGAACAATTAATAAAAAGTAATAGTTATTTTTTATTAAGATTTTTTTCTGTTTTGTACTTAAAATTTATATATAAATGTAATTTTTTACATAAAAAAAGAAGGTAATAGTAATAATAATAATGAAATTCATAATATTTAAGATATTATAAAGTTTTACACTATCTAATAAATAAAATGCTATTATTTTACCATTATAATATTAATGATGAAACATATATAAAAAAATACTAAGAATATAAAAAGCAGAAATGTAATAATAAATATTAAATAAAAAACTTAAAATATTTTGTAAAAGATTTATTAAATTCACTTTTTGAAAGATAGAAATTTAAGTATCATGAATAGTTAGAATTAAATCAGAAAATTTATTAGTTAATACTGAATATGGTATTATAATATTTATAATTTTCAAATATAATCAATAGCTATTTAAGCATTAAAAATTTATTATTTTTTTTAAATTAAATAATCTTTAAATAATTTTGATTAATACTTTTTTCTATCCTATCTAGAAAATTATTCTTCAAATTTTTTATAAATGCATAAAAAATTTTTTTAATAAAGCAATCAAATACAATCTTTGATTTTGATTAATATTAGAATATATAAATACAAATATCTTATAAGATACTGATTATGGAGGTATTAAATAAAAAATATCATACTCACCTCATTGAAAACTTTCTGTTAAGCTGTGTTTGATTAAAATTGAATCATTGCATGTCAAAATAATTAAAAAATGTGAAATTTATTGCATTTTGATATTATTTTTAATTGAAACCAAGTTTTATTTATTTATAAATGCATGATACACAAAGTAGTTTCAAAAGAAAATAAAATATATCAAATTAATGCACCGAAACATGCTCTATACAATTATATAAATATTTATTTTATATCATAATAAAACTTAAACCACGATTCACAAAAAACTGTGCTCTTCAAGGGTAGTGTATGTCATATATATCACGTGTCCGAGCATTTTTGCGAAAATTGGATTCTCTTTATTAAGTTCGTTCAATTAAATAATTTGGTTTTCAAAGAAATCTCTAGCTCTTTGGCAAACATCCTTATTACATTTAGGACATCTCAATTTTAATTGAGTTGACATAACTTTACCAGATAGTAAATGGTCTTTAGCAATATTCGCAATTGCTTCAATGAAAATTGGATCATCATTTAAAGATTCTGCACGTCTTAATCCCGTAATTCCGGCCTATAAACAGTTTTCAATTTCAGCAAGTATTAATAGATCCAAAACATTTATTTATTTTATTTCTTTACCTTTTTAGCCTCATGAGCATATTCTAAATCCAATTCAAAAAGTGTTTCGATATGATCACTCGTAAACGCTATAGGAACTAGCAAAAGATTGTTATGACCTTTCTTGCCAAGTCCAAGTATCGCTTCATTTGTTTGTGGTCCCATCCATGGTTGTGGACCAACTTGAGATTGCCAAACTAAACGATACGGATTAGAAAATTCTAAACGTTCCATAACTCTGTGAACTGTGGCTGCAACTTCTGAAGTATATGTATCACCACGATTTACTACAGTCATCGGTAATGAATGAGCAGAAAATAATAAAACAACTTTATTTTGAACATCTGAAGGATATTGCTTAATAGCAGTTTTTATATGACGAGCAAATGCCTAATTCAATTATAAAGTTAAAAAATTTTGATTTAAAAGCGTGGCGAAGAAATGAAAAAGTTCAAATCATGATTACCTCTATCAATCCCGGATGTGTTGGCCATCGATCAATAACACTCCATTTAATTGATCTTTCAGAATCCAATTTTTCTGATTTTCTCCATAACTCATTTAAACTACTTCCTGTCGTTGAACAAGAATATTGTGGATACTGTGTAAAAGCGACTGCACGTTTTACGCCATCCTTCTTCATATGTATAATTGCATCTTCGGTTAAAGGCGGCGCGTACCGAAAAGCAATATACGACTTATGTGGGGCTAGGCAAAAAGGAATTCAATTAGAACTTTCTCTTACAAATTAATACTTTTATAATCAATATATCTTAATGTACCATATTTCGGATTAATTTCATCTAATAATTTCTCCATTGCTTTTCCTTGTTTTTCAGTCCATGATAAAATAGGAGAACCACCTCCAATTTTATCATATTGTTCTTGAATTTTAGAAGTTCTTCTTTTGGCTATAATTGGCGCTAAATGTGATTGAAACGGTATAGGGATAAGATCAGGATCCAAGAAAAGTCTCGTCAAAAAATCATTTACACCTTCCAAGGTTGATGGACCTCCGAGATTCATTAGGACAATTCCGGTCGGACTGTCGATTTTTTTTTTTTTTTTAAAAAAAAAAAAAAATGCAAATTACGCGTTTAATTTAATTATCTTGGGACATGTTATCATACATAATACGGGCCATTTGAACAGAAGATAACTGCTTATTTATATAGTTTTATTTTAAAAAACGATTTAAAAAAACACACCCTTTTTCGTCATTATCTTTTTGTGAAGCAACACTTACAAATGACCTACTAATAAAAGCACCACCTGTGAATGAAATAAGGCTAATTAAGAATAATCATTGAACTTATAAATGCTAATTTAAAGATTACAAAATTACAGAATTACGGAATTACTCACGCACGTTCGAAACTGGCTTGCGTAATGATTTTATTAAAATGAAAGTATTTCTCAAAGTGTTTTGAGAATACATTATAAAAAAAAATCCCAATTATAGAGCTTAGAAAATTTGATACCGCAATTTAATGTGATAAAACTACCCAAAATTTTAAAAAGATCTCGCGAAGCTATTTATTATCGTTATTGACATCATGACTTCAAGATTGAAATAGACTCTAATTGAACCATCGTGTGCATCGTGTGACAAGTCTCCCAAAAAAAAATTATTTTTCACGTGTATTTCGATTTTCCACTTTATGTAAAAATTTTCAAATATTTCAAAACTAAGAATATGAACCGTCTTTGGAGCTCTCGTCTTTCGTTCTTTGCTTTGCGCGACATACAAATACCATTAAATTCTCGGAGTTATGCTACTGCTACGGAATCTAGTACTCGTCGATTTCCTAAGGAAGGTATATTGAGTCATTATTTTCTTTGAAACCGTTTTGGAAATTTATTCGAAAACTAACTTTTCTTACGCCGATAAGGATTTGGTGCTCCTATTTGGAAAAGAACAATAGGTGTTTTTATACTGGGAACTGCATGGTATCAGGCTGATCGTTACTTTGTGAAAGATGGCAAGGTGAATTTGTATTTTTGATCTTTCACTTAACATTTAAATCATTTTTGACTTTTGTTTTCTTTCCATTTTTTTATATATATAGAAACATCCAGTAACGAAAGTAATTTGATTTATCAATTTGAGATTTATTCTTGTAAATATAAAAATGTCTATTTTTTAATTATGTTTTTCTTTGGATATTAAGTGGATTGAAACTTTGATGATACCAGAATCAGAGTATAAAAGGCGTAATTTAGAACATCTCTATCTATCTGCTGAAGCTTCTAAGGATAAGTAAGTTCATAACATACAAATATGTATGTAGGAATTTTAACCAATTTATAATTATAATCTTTTAGGATTCTTTTCGGTGAGGCTGAATGGCCTCCAATTTATCGACTTAGATATCCAGAGTAAATATAATTATAATTCTTTTTACTTTTTTAATGTAATTTGCAAGCTAACTAAATTTTATTTTCAAAAAAAAATGGTTCAATAATTCAAATAAAGACAATTTGAGAGGGCTAGTTCGCATTGCATTGAACCTGGAACAGAAATAGATTTGTCAGATTTAGTAGTTAGACAAGATTAATCCCTTCAATTAACACTCAAATTTTGCACGTGATTTCGGTAATCATTATTAATGTATTCTAGAAATTGATGAATTAAATTTTTTTTAATGATTAATGTATTTCTATATATAATTAATTTTTATTTCAGTTAAAGTTTAACGAAAGTTGCTTAACTTTAACTAATAAATATTTAGTATTTAAATTTTACTTAGCAAAAGAACAACTTTTATTAAGATAAAAATGTGGTTATTTATACAGATTTTGGGTTGCTTTTTAAAGTTTTTCCATTTTTTTTTTAATATAAATTTGATTTATTATCTAAAAGTATAATAAAATAATATTATTAAAATGTGTATTTTTATATTATATATAAACATATTTTGTTTAATAAATAAATTTTATAAAGATGTATTTTTAAAAATTTGGTGTATCTTTTATTAAAATAATATATATACAATTAAAATTCAATATATACAAATTTTTTGTTTAAATAGTTTTAAATTATACATTCTCAACAAGTTTAAATTAATAAATTATGATTATAATAATAATCTTTTACAAATATCATTAAACTATTTCAGAAATTTCTATAATAAATCTTAAGGTTTACTATTTACTAATTTTTGGATATTAGTATAACCTATTTGAATTTTTGCTAAAATCAAAATTGCCTTTTTTGAAATCAAATAATATTACCTAATATTCTAAAAAGACATTTTAGTCAAAATTATAAATTTTAGCTAAAATTAAGAATATGACAAATAATATGTGATAAATATGATATTATATTTGAAAAAATTTTAAATTTTCAAAATATATAGTAAAAAATGAAATGTAAAATATGTAACACAATGTAACAAATTATTCATATAAAAAATCACATGATACTGATGCTTATTATTACTGTAACATATAGTAATTTTTTAAATTTTTAATAGTTATACAGTCAACTCTTTCTACAACGAATTTTGATATAACGAATTTTACAATACAACGGATTTTCAGTGTCGGACAG